TTTGAGCAACCTTTCTATAGGCGAATCTTTGTTTGCACTTTTTGCCTCATTAACATATGCTTATAACTATCTGATGACGCTAATAAAATGAAAACTCTGAATATTGAAAGGGCATAACAGTTTCAGTTATCTCTGAAAATTTGAGCCCAGTACACCGAATGGTTCGGAGAAATTCTCTTCAAACTGAAACTAGAAATTTTACAGAGAATGCATGGCTGATATTTTCTTATTGCTTGGAAAGAGTTGAAAATTACACAAATTGCTCAAATTACTCAGCTCTTTCAACTTATGCATTTAGTTCATATATACGGCTACGGCTTCTATGAGTTAAGTCTTATGCTAACGAGAAAAATGTAAACAGTGACGTTAGCAAAGATTCGCCTATATATTGATGCTACAGAGGAAAAGAGGAAGCAAAAACCATAATATTCTCGAGATTATAACTCAAATTCTTGTTTATTCTTATTGACTTTATTCGTTTATCACAGGTCATAAATAGATTAATTAATTCATTAATGCATTCCTTCCCTCCTTCCTTCATTTATATATCCATTTATTCATTCTTTCAATTTTACTTTTATTACAAACCTGAGGTAAGCTGTGCCTACCTCAGCTTCAGGACCGTGATCCCGGGGGGAGGGGGGGGGGTACTCCTTGGAATTCTTGGTGGGGGTGTACCGACTGGTTTTCCAATCCTGACCCTATTTAAGACTAGAAAATGTCACTTTTCACACCCGTTTTCAGATCGGGCCTTTAAGAAATTATGTCATCCCAGTTACTTAGATTAGAACACTGACAAAAAAGATTAATTAAAATCCACTTCGAATTTGCATATTTCTCTTTCTTTCTTATTCATTTGGAATTGAAACGATAATTACGTTCATACACTCCTGTAGTTTCTTCAAAAACCATAACCGATTCCAGACCACAATGGCCAAAGTATATACCCATTTTCAGACCAAAACGGTGCAAAACACATACCCTTTGGGGCGGCATATACCTGTATGGCTCATATAAGGGAGTATCCCCCCAGGAAAGTGATAAGCATTTGTTCACTTTGCTGTTTTATTTTATCATTAAAGGTCACGTGATATGTGATGGTACGTTCCAAAAAACATTACGGGCGATTGGTTTCTGAAAGTATTAAATGAAAAATTAACCAAGATAGCCGCTGTCGTTAAAATGAGCTCTCCACCGCGACGATCTAACGGAATAATAGGGGACCAAACAGTGTCAGTCTATGTTTCTTTGCGGGGATACTTTTTCTGATCATGACAGTTTGTACTGCTAGGGCTATTCGGAAAGTAATATTATTCAGAGTTATGTTTCACGCCCCTAGATCCGTCTCCTATATCCTATATTCTAAACTTAAATTTAATTGGCACTTCGATGCACTGAATCAATCTGTTATTCAATCAAGGGATGCATTTATATAGCGATATCAATTGCGTCCGACTGGATAACCAGCGGATAACAAGTGCGCAAAAACAAAATGATTTGGGAAGTTGAGTCTTTTTATTATAAATTGATTATTAATTAATCAATTCTTTAATCTGTTTTCAGTTACTTTTAACTTAAAACTTGTTCTCAATGGTGACATAGAATAAGTGTGACTAGTTAGTGCCTAACAGACATCCTCGTGTAACGTCAGAAATACCTTTAGATAATTAATGGCGACTTCAAAAAACACGTAGGGCCGGTTATTTAAACGGAGTTTAGCCGTTTAACAAAACCGCGTTCTAAGCCATTTCCAGTTTGCCAAATGCTTTTATCAACACACCATTTACCGTGAGCAGTTTCATGAAACCATATAGGTCATATAGGGTAGACCAGAGAAGCATTTGTCTTCTCCATAAACAACTAAGGAAGAGACCTTGAGGTCCAAAGATTTTTTAAACTGCTAAGTTAGAATTCGTCTGAAGAACCGACCCGTACTGTCCAAATTTCACTACTAGTACCAACGTTTACTTGCTGTCGTGTTCTTTGATGTCGCCATTAATTATCTGAAGTATTTCTGATGTTAAGTTTTTTTTCTAGAGCACAGTAAAGGTCGTGTTTGTAACTTTTAAGAAGCAACATTTTTCTGCGCAACTTGAACTTTGAAGTCCACACACGGAAAGCAAAATGGCCCAACCTTTTGAACGGGTACACTGTCATCATCACCTGTCACGTCCGTCTCCAGGGCAACAGAGTAGTTTTCCAGCAATGTGACCAGTAAAACTTTCATAAAGGTGTCAGCAACCCGGTATCCCATACACCTTCGCGGTCCAATACCGAAGCGACACAAGCTTTTGCGCATGTTCGGTGTTTCGTCATCAAATCTTCGGGGATTGAAAGTTTCCGTGTCGCCCCAGACTCCTGTGTTACTATTGACTGCGCTGTTGTCAACAGATACTTCGACCTAAAGACAAACGAGAAAAGTGTCATTTAAACATTTACAGAAAGTAGCTGAAAACAGTTACATCATCTCAAAACTCTTGTTAACTTATGGCAATGATGATCGTCAGAGATCATGTTTCTACCATGGATCAATCTCGTATCGAGAGTCTTGCCCCGTTGGTCAAAAAGCCAGAAGATCCTGGCTACGAGATTGACCATGAATTCTTTAGTTTCAAAACATGAATTGCACAATTGAATAAACAAACGTACAGTAGGAGGAAATATAAAAATGACTGTATGTAAAGATAGTTCCTTTTGATATAGATCATTTTTACTCATGTGATCAATGGCTATACAAGTTTCACCCAACAAATATACTTTTTAAAAGAGGAAAGAGTTGGTACACCAACATGGCCGCCGTTTCATTGTTTTTGTACACAATTTGCGACTTTTACGTCCCCATAAAATTTGGCAGAAGTTTTGTTTTTAATTTCTCAAGGGAAGAAAACAAAAACAACAAGACGTTTAGACATTTGGACATTCTCGGAAAAAAATTCTAGTCCTGAATTTTATTATCACGTGGCATCAGTCAAAGGCTCACAGCCTCCCTCATCATTCGTGAGGAAGCCTGCTCACGGGCACAAATTCTTGTTATTTAAAAATTGAAATTATAAAATCACAAAGAAAACTTTTCCATCTGTTATGAGCCAGTCAGAAAATGAGCAAGCATTCGCGAAATATCTGATACTTTTTTAAAACACATTCAGTTTTAACGTTACTGTGTGTTTTAGGGTGTAAAAAGAAGCTGACTGCTCGTTCCCCGATTAATCGTAATCGACGGGGTGATAAGCGGAATCGGAACTCTGTTTTCAATACATCGTAAGGCTCTGCGGGTCTTTCAAATATAAAGTATTGGCTTTATCGAAGGGAAGACAAACAAACAAACAAACATTGCCAATAAACAAACTCCTCAGACTTTCCGCTATTTCTTTTAGGCTGCACTCAGCTTCAACAAAAGAAAAAGTATTCGCTAAAATATTTACTTACTCCGCGTGAAATGGAATTCTTGACTTTAACTGTAAGATTTTTCTGCACATCTTTATGAAGTGCTACATGGAATAGACGCCAGGCCACAGCTCCGCATGTGATGTCTACATTAGCAAGGGACGCTTCCTCCAGGGTTTGTTCAAACTAGACACAACAAAAAGTCTTTTGGTAAAATTCGAATCACGGCAAGAAGTGCTGCTTTACTGTAACTAACGCCCTAAAAGGAATTGAGTTTGAATCGCTCGATGTGAAACGTCTGCAACTCAGAAAGTTCAAAAGAAACATGTCTATTAGGTACCCAGTTAAATCCTAAAAGGCCAAACTACTCCAAAAAGGTCCTCTATTAAAAGGGCGTTGTCAGGTTGAGTTTCACATTTCTTGGTAAAAACTAAACTGAAATAAAAATTCAGTATTCTCAGTGACCTATTCTCATACTATACCCTTAGAAATTTAAATATCAAGCGACTCCCTCAAAGGAAAAACAAATCGTGAGAAGTTGGCCCATGGCTATCCTGCCAGTTATGGAAGGCCAAAAACACGCACTAATAGTGTAGGTAGAGAAGTAGAGCAATTTTTCACAAAACGGATCAACCGTTATATACACTCATAGGGTCTTCTTGGGTTCAAATATGTATGACAGTTTTAAAGAAATACCAAAACATCATTTACACGTATTTCGTATTTTAAAAAGTTCTTGAAAACTACTAACGAATAGGAACTAACTGGAAAAAGACAACACATTTATTATACAAAGTTATCCTAGATTCCACTCGCATTTTGATATCCGAACGTGAAATTACAAAATGATATTATACATATAGGTATAATACCAGCCAACCCAAAACTTTTCGTCTAAACCCCCAACATTACCTCATCTTCTGAAAGTGCCCCGGATTTTTTGCAAGAGTTTGCTGGAGCTTGTAAAATACACAGCTTGTGTCTCGAGGTTTTCCTTCGGCAAAACGCTCCTTAAAGGTAAGTCAAGAAACGAAAGTAGAAAAGAGAAATTGAAATTTTCACAACGAAAACACTTGCCTCTTGGTTGAAATGGACAAGGCAGTGCAATAAAAGGGTATCAAAACTAAACTAAAATTAAAATGGAAACGGAGATGTAGAGTTCTTACTTTTCCTTTATTTCCGAGATAACTATCTTGTTTGCGTTAACTATTAAACGTAAAATGAACCCTTCTTACCGCTTATTGAATTGCAGCCATCGCTTTTCAAATTGCGCCAGTTTCCTGTTAGTGCTTGTAGGCATGTATTTATAAAGCGGAAACTTGACAAAAGGGTTTGAGAAAGTATCTCCGATAAGTGATTCCACTAAAGCTCTGAGATCGAGTAACTCCTGAATCTCGTCTGCAGTCATGTCTCTTCTGTATGTGAACTTCATTAGTATTTTAAACGTCAGTTGAATCAGATCAGCCATTCTTATGAAACCCTAAAATGGCGAAACAAGCCGCGCATATCACAAGCTGAATTTGTGGCAGTCGTGCCAAAAATGGTATATGAACGGGTAAGACCGGTGGAACCTCTGGGGCAGCCTCCCTGCATAAAACTTTGTACAGTGCCCCCGCCCCCACCGGGATGGTGGTCTTCTTTTTTAGGGGAGGACGATTTGATGGGCTCCTGGGGAGGAGTGTTGCATGATGGCAAAAAAGAACGGCCGCGTAGGAGACTGACCATGTGCTGACTTCTTCATATTACTATTGACAGGTAGTAGGGAGCGTGTGTTGATCTGGTCGTTATCCCATTGGATTTTTGATCTGAAAAAGGGTATGAGGCAGCGCGTTTCCTAAGTTTGCCCTACACAGCCGGCATAATAAAGAGAGTTTTTGCTTCCCTTTTTTTTATAGAAATGACACCATAAAACTTTGCAGTGAAACCATTCACATGCGGCTCGTGGTTCCACTTGAGTTTTGAACATTTTATGAGGTCATTTCTATGGTCTATAAGAGTGTAGACCATGGAAAAGTGTGGTCGATTTGTTAAATAGGGCTTTAAACAACAACAACACAAGCCGGAAGCTCCGTTTGCTGTTTTTACCATGACCGTCCAATGCCCCCAACCCACAAATGGTTTTCAATAAGGAACCAGATTATTGAAACCTTTGAGGGTCAGGATTCGGGTTTTTAGAGCAAAAAGGCGTGAGATTCGGGAAAAAACCCTGGAAATTGGGTGACTTTGAAGTAGCGGCATTTGGGAAACGTTGGTTTTCATCGAACCGAAATCCGGTGACGAAAGTACGTTACAAATCCTTGAATGCAGAGGCCCACTCGAAGCGTAGATAAAACCGACTGGTTCTTTCTTGCCGGATCTCAAATGTAGAGATGCTAATACCAGACGCCACTTGAAGTGGGAATTCAGTAATCAAAACTAAATAATTAAGGGCTGGCAATACGGCAAAGTAAGTTGCTTTTCGTTAAATGTCATAAACTATTATTTTCATCCACCCTGTCAGGCGTCGATGACGATCGTTACACGTTTCTTACACGGCTATCTGTCACGGGTCTCCGGAGCGGAGGAGAGAACTGAAGAGCTCATGAGCATCAGGCTGTAGGCATTTTGAAACGCGCGTTCGGGATTGGAAACCGTCGGAATCACTAAATTGAGGGGAATTTTGGATAAAATGTCGGTGTTGCATGAATAACCTGAATGTGGACCCTCGTGAAACAGATCTATTGTACAACAAGGTTCCTAAAAGCTGCAAACCACTTTGCCTGCGATCGTGTCCTCAATTTATCTATTTTTATATCTCGGAATGAAAAACGAAAAAAAAGAACACCCAATCTCGGTCAATCTCGGGTCAATTCATGATGGATATGTGTCGCTGGCTAATTGTAAACTCCATCTTAGTCACTTTTAGGAAAATGCAATTTTCAAGGAATTTTTTAGAAGACTGCAATCCCAAGTGAGTCACTTTTTTTGTCGCGGTAACAGCTAATTAACCGCGAATCTTCTCATTTCTAAACCCCTATTTACCAGGAGATGTTCTTATCCACCAAAATCCCGAAAATTTGCGACCACCTTCTAGAAACTCTAAAAGCAACCCCATTATAGTCAATCCAGTGGTGAAAATGCGACCCCATCAAGTGGCACACCCCATCAGCATATATTAAAGAAAGTAATCCCTCGGCGGGTTATGAAGCACCAGAAACAGTACATTAATACCTGTTTGTGTTGCCAATGGACCATCTGATTTAAGTACTGTTTGCATTCCTGTTCCATCATATCCACTGCCTGTGCCACACTCTCTGTGCTGTAACACGGGTCAAATGCACTCTTTCATCTTTAAATGCTATGAGTGTTAGTGAAAAGGTCCTGAAGCCAGTTCCTGCGATAATTTCCCCAGAATCATTTTGCCAGAAGTAAATCTATAATATAAGCGATCACAGATTAAAGTCAGTGATTATTTCTTTCACGGTTTAGTTTTTCCTTCTGCAAAAATGAAACTTGAAGAGGGTCCGAATTAATGAAAATGAAACAGACTGAAACTGACCGAAACTGAGGAGGTTGACGATTGAACTCTTTTCGATGTCCTAGGAAACCTCTCTATGAAACAGCCACAGACTGCTGTCAAGAAGTTTCTGTCCTTTGTCTCTACATTCCAAAACTTAAGTTGTTCAGTTGATAGCCTCTGAGCAAGCTTTCCAGTCTTTTTTCTTATTCCTGGGCTCGATTTTTTTGTCTTTTTTTTTTTTAACGTGCATTGACAACGGATTACTGGAGGAAGAGCAAACTGGATGCCAGAAGTTTTGAGAATGTTAGTGACCACAAATTTTAATAGAAAGACATATAAGATATTGGTAAACATGATTCACGCATAACATATTAAAACCGATTTTGAGGTGGTGACTAAACCAAAGGCATGTCATGATGTAACCGTCTGTAACGAATCAAGGTCCGTTCAAAGGGGAATTTTTGATGGAAAAAATTGACGTACGCGAGTCTTATGACCCTTACGATAAAACCGAATTTTATTAATAGTGACGCTCTTTAGATTATTGCAGACGTCTCCTTTTTCCTTTGTTGCACGCAAAGGAAATAGGAGACGTCTGCTCGCAGGCAGAAGAGACTATATTCCCTCACGTATACTTTATACTTTGACAAATGGTATATTTGCTTGCGAATGGGATTTTTATGCTTTCTCCTGGTTGTCATTGTTTGTAAATTGCTGCGTTACTTATTTCGTGACACATCCGGGTATATGCAACCGCTGTTGTGTCATTCATTTTGGTTACTCGCTGGGAGAAGATGTGGTTTTTTCATCCCTCCCAACCCTCTCCCTTTGTCATCCATGTGCAACAAATGACAAGCATGTAAAACGAGCTTATGAAGTACTAAGACTGGTGTTCTCATTCGGGAAAAAAACGTAATTATTCAAAGAAATGAGCCAAAATACCTAACTAAACTAGATGGGGGATGTCAAGTACAGGGGTACTCCGCAAAGTTTTATACGGGGTGGATCGGCCCCGAGGTCCAACTATAGCCCTTGCCCTTCTATAAAAAAAATTTAAGGACACAGTATTGACCTCTAAACTTATAATTACTTAACCACACTGCATCCCTTTAACTCTTGGATGAAGTTAATGAACGATATTACGGGAAAACAACTTGCAACGTACGTCTGCTCGAAATATTAAGGCCGATACACACGAGGGAGCGTTTTCAAGCTCGCTAAATTTGCCACGGGAGCTTGCTCCCAAATATTTAACTGGTTAAATATCGTGGAGCATTTTGCGGGGTGGAAATTCTGCTCCCGAGGATGAAGTATACCCATGAAATCGTTGGTACACACGGAGGAGCTATGCTCCTGGAGCGTGCCCCTGGAGCATGCTCCGGGAGCAAAATCCCTCGTGTGTATCGGCCTTTAGGGACCTTAGGCAACGACGACGACGACAGCAGTGAAAACGTCGCTAAAAGAGAGAATTTGCATTCAATTTAAACTTAACTTAATCGCGTCTATTTGGACTCGTTCAATATGTCAAATGCAAGCGACTTATTCTTAAGGATTTTACTCAAGTTCAAAAAGAGGAAGGAAAATTCGTCGTCGTATGTCAACGTCCTCCATTAAACGTCAAATTAGGAGGTTTGACGTCGTAGTCGTGCAGTGGACGTCAAAGAAATGTACTAAAAAGCGTGATGCACGTTCAGAGCTGATGTTTTGATCATTTTAAAAACCTATTGTTTTTTGAAGTTGTCGTCGTCGTTGCTTAAGCTCCCTATTTCAACTAAAGGCCTTTCTTTATACCTAAATGACACACCAGTCCCTGCCTGTCATATACTTCAACTAGTGAAATTCCTCAGTGTTCTCCCTAAATTTTAGCTTAGCAGGTAAGGGACCATTCTTCACCGGTAAGGTCAAAAATATGTGCCAGAGGCGAACTCTCCTGCCAGGGGAGGGGCTTCGCGTTCATGAAGGCTTTTATTTTCGAGCATCCTGTCAACCGATTGGCCGAAAAGTATTTTAAACACCTCAAAACAAACACTTTTACGAATGAAGGCTGCCTTTGCCGCCAGGGTCAATTTAGTAACACAAGTCGCGGAAGTCGCGAACTTTTCCTGCTGGTCGAAAAAGCTTAGAATTGGAACAGAAGCCCACGAAAAAATCGTTAGCTTGCAGTTCTTTGAAAGGTGCCAGTCAGCATTTAAGTAAATTAATTATGGAAAATAGCTGTGTTTTTCCGTATTCACTTCCTTTTCTTGTGGGGATCGGCTTGGATCACAACTTGCATATTTTTTGCAACAATTTACACTTCAAGAGGTTGCAGACGGTAAGAAGTGTTGCTTCAAGCGGTAAATTTTACCGGTTACCGCCTGACAAGGAGAACACTGCCCGGCTAAATATGGATTTTACAATCTTTTTTAATGTTATCGTAAGCGACTTGAGTAAACGTTCTCTCAGTTTCAAGACAAAAACATAACTGTGAGGTTAAAAAATATAGTCACGTAGACATTGACGCGTACTGCTTCTAGCGTGCACTACAATAATAAAAATTTAAATAAACTGCTGCATTGATCGCTTTGATTATGTTATAAAACAATTAGTTCATGCTTCCGCTGTGCGGAAGTCGAGATATTGAGCACTTAGGAAGTTTGGAGACTATACTTCAAAGGTACTAAATTTAACTTACTAAGGCGTCCGTTCTCAGAATAATCCCTTCCAAAAATGAATTTTATAGCCCTGCGTTGACCTTGTTCCGCTAACTTTTTTTGTTGATGTTTCGTTTAGTATGAGACAATAGAGACCTTTAGCATGAGGTAAACCGCAAACCGCAAACCACAAACCGCAGTTACGCGTTTGCAGTTTCGCGTTGCCGAGATTTCACACTTTAGCAAGGCGTTCAGTTCAGTTCATTTTTATTTAGGCAAAATATAATACAATACAAGAATACATATAGGAATTGTAAGGTTGCAAGGGAGCCCAGA